TGAAAACCCTAATCCATTTAATCGTAAACAGCTAAGTGAAGAGTGAAAGACTTAATTATCCAAATGTATTTTTTAAAGTTTCTAGGCATACATATGTATTGAACACCTTTAAATAATTAACTTCTTTTAAAATTTAAATCTTAAATGGATATATTTGCTTATTTACTTACTTGTTACTTACTTTAATATTTAATGATGATTTTCTTTATGTGATGGAAGAAAGCCCAGCTGATAAGTCCACCAAATCACAATTTTAAAAAATACTAAATCTGATTGGTGCTCTAACTCAGAGGTCAAATTGTTTTTATGGTATATATCTGATTCTATTACTAGCTGAAGAGACAGAGGAGTTTCTTGAAATCAGGATGCAAGTTTTAGTGTTATTTATATAATTATTCACATTATGCTTAAGGATTTCAAGTGACTTTGGATCACTGAATAGAATGTGAAAAATTAAAGTTTTAAGTTATGCTTGGAAGCCTATGATTAGCAGGCATCCACAAGAAAACAAAGCAACTAGAGTAATCATTACTTCCTTTGAATTCATTTATTTTTCTTAAATTTCATGTCATAAAAACACATAAATCATTTTATTATTGTATCTTCGTTCCAATTTGAATCCACTAAGTTATCAGTAATGATTCACAGTATTCTTAATTAAATAGCAATAAGAATATGCAATGTGTTATGCATTAGCAAAAATTTTGACATAAAATGAAATTATTTGTTATACCTAATAATTTATACAGAAAACACTCATGATATTGTGTACATTGCAAGTGTGGACAAAATAGAGCAAGCATTTCCATTTGTTCATAATGTAAATATCTGAACCCAGTTAGTTTCCTGACCGGGGGCCCACCTTGCCTAAAGATAGCTTAGGAAACGGGGGTGAAAAATAAAAACGTGCATTTGTTAATCCATGCTAATACCTGGACCTAATCTAAATTCTTTTAAAAAAGAAAAGGAGCTCTTAAGATTATAGTAAATTCAGGTTCCAAACTCTTTTTTTTCCATAGAGTTTAAAATGTACAGTAAGAGATAATTCAGATGTACTCCAAGCCTTTTAAACACTTAATGTTATAAAACATCATAAAATAGACAACGAGCTTCCCCAGAGCACCTGCTATGTGCCTCTTCTAGCTCCATGCACAGACATGGCCCATAGTAGTGCTCAGTACAATTCTCTTGGCTGAACTGATGAGTGTCCCCTCGAAGAAATCTTCCTTCATCTTACACTCATAGAACAATTAATTTCCATCACACATATGCTGCATTCTCTATATTTTCTTGTGGAGTTTCTGCATTGTGTATGTGTGTATTGGATGCAGAGGTCTATTTTCATAAATAAATTGAAATGCCATTACATATAATAACTGTATATAATTTATTTAGCTAAAACATGGACTTTATATAACTCTGTGCTCTCCCTGGTGAATTTCACTGAGCATCCCTCCCCTCCAAGTGAATACAAACAGAATGAAGCATTTGCTTCTGTGTTGTCTAGTACAGACAACTCTTGACAGAGTTGACTGTACAGGTCCACTTATAAGCAGGTCATTTTCAATAAATACAGTACTGAAAAGGTATTTTCTTTTCTTTGTGATTTTCTTAGTAACATTTCTTTCCTCTAGATTATATTGTAAGGCAAAGTAGTAGTATATATAATATACAAAATATGCATCAATCAACTGTTTATGTTATCAGCCAGGCTTCTGGTCAATAGTAGGCTATTGACAGTTAAGTTCCGGGGGAGTCAAAAGTTGTGCATGTACTTTCAACTGAGTGGGGGATTGCCCCACACTTCCATGTTGTTCAAGGGTCACGTGTGTCCTTTCTCTGTACTGTCTTCCACTCTGGATATCTCTATCTAATGTTTGTCTCCATGCCTTTAACATAGGATGATTTTCCATTACTCATTTATCCTTAAATATAAATTGGTTTTCTCAGGGAGTTGCAGCGTAAATCCTTAGTCCTTATTGGAAATGAAAATGATAGTTCCTCTTTAGAGATTTATAGTTAAAGTAATGGAGAAGATTGGCAGAAATGATAAAAACATTTATTTATATTCTATGTCTTTCTGGTCCTGTGGGCATCCAGCTAGCTTGGACCGCGTTCAGCCATAATGATAATGGGATGAACAGACGCTGCATCTCCTCCACCACCCTCGTCACGTAAACGTGTCCATACAAACCTGTCAGCAAATGTAAAATCTCTAGAGATGCGTCTGAACATCTGTGCATTTAAAAGAATGACAGTGATATACTCTGATTGTTGTGAATTATTGTGCTTGACCCTTTCTATGGTATTTCAGTTAATCTCAGAATAACCCAATGAGGAAAGTTCTACTACCCAATTTACAGATAAGGGGATTGAAGCTTAAAGAAGTTAAGTCTCTCTCTCAAGGCCACAAGGTTATTTGCTAAGAAGATAGAATTTGGGTCCAGGCCAGAACCCTTTTCAGTATTATTGACATTAAAATCTCTTACCACTAAAAACTGATCCAACAAGTAATATACCCTCACTCAGTGAAGAGGATGGTTGGGGACCAGTGTGGGTCTATCAGCTAGGGTTCTGGAAGAAAGAGAAAGTACACTGAGTTGAGTGATTAGAGAAAAGTTAAAGGTTGACAGTGTACATCAGTGTGGGCAATACCCTCATGCCAGTTACAATGATAATGTTAACACCTGTGGGCCTGAAGATGTGAGCCTCAGTTTCATGGCACCTGGAAAGCAGGGGGCAGAGGGAGGGAGAGAAAGGAGAAAGGTGAAAAGGGGGTAGAGAGAGTTGTCAAACAGGGCTGTGCCTTTTGGTCCAGGGATGCAACCAGATCGTAGAAGTCTTGGGAGGCAGAGAGGTGAGGAGTAATCTTGCATTCTTTGTCATTGCCTGAAAACAACTGAAAGCCAGAAGGCAAGGGCCCCAAGAACATAGGTTGTGCCCATCCACCACAAAGGGTAAAAGAGGGTTCGAATGCCTCTGAGTAAGTCAGCAAGAAGAGTTAGGAGTGCACATTTTTCACCCTCACCCCTCAGGTTCGCTCCCATTCCCTCTTTACCATGGATGACATGGCAGAAATGGGAAGAACAGCTGTTTGCTTTCATTTTCTTTAATCTATGGTTACAAATGCTCCTGAAATGTATTAGCACACTTTCATACTAAGCATTCATAAGCATCGACATTTGTTTTAAATCTACTATATTGCAGACAAAGCAGGTATGGAATAATGGTTAGGCCTGCCCTCAAGTAGGTACATATTCTTTGCTAAGGTGTTTTGGGTTTTTTGTTTGGTGTTTTGTTTTTTTTTAATTGGTTAGGTTAATTGAGGTATAATTTACATACAGAAAAACTCACCCATTTTAGCTATGTAATTTTGTCAGCTCTCACAAATGCATACAATCTTATAACTAACATTATGATTAAGATACAAGATATTTCCATAATCCCAAAAAAGTTCTAAAGCTCTTTGAAATCTTTAATCCAACTCAACTGAATGTTTGTTATCAATGTTTGTTTCTCATGATTTTAAATACGAAAATCGGTGTTACACCCAAACAGTAAGTTGCACATAGTGGCTGTTTTGTAAGAAGTAGTTTTTTGATTTATTTTCCCATCCTTCTGAATACTATAAACTACTTGTATTGGTTATAAACATTTTACATATGATAGACTGAGGAAAGATTCATAATTTTAGCTGCACATTAAGGTGACCCGGATCTGTTAAATGACCCAATGGCCAGGTGGCATCTCCATCCAGCAGGATGTCTTGGACTGAGACCAAGGCATAGATAATGTAAGCTTCCCAAGTAATTCTATACATAGTTAAGGTCAAGGCCTTATGAATTAGACTAATTTTTATCAACTTGGCTGTGCACTAGATTCCCCTGGCAATCACTTAAAAATACTGATGCCTTTTCCTCTATTCTGATTTATATAACTTATTCATAAAAGTTGACTACAAGAAAAAAATGAGATTTGGGTATCAATATTTTGGAATGGTTAGGCCCCAGTTAATCAAGGTTTTATTATAGTTCTGGGTATGAGGTGGTGTTCAATAAATGTTAAATAGATGTCCTAATCTCACAGCAGAGTCGGGGAAAGTAAAATATGCTCTCTCTTGGAAATATACTGTTTGTGTATTTGAAATAATTATTTTAGCAAACTATCACTTTCTGAAAATTGTCCTCCTAGGTAATTTACCTCAAATGGTAAGCCTTGTATTTTAAGAGAACACTATATTTCAACTATATTTTTTTCACCATAATATTAAGCACATACATATCTTATAGCACTTTCATAATTCACTCCAAGGAAATAGACAGGAAACAAGATTAAAAGACTGAGGATAAGATTTAAACTACCACCCACTTGGAAGCATAAATGATGCTATTGCTCCTCTGGGCCTGGGGAAAACTGCTACTTTTTAAAATAGAGCAATGATACCTTCTGCTTTCCTGATGGCAAAATATATACAGAATGAACACCTAATGTCAGTAACTAGAACAGGAATGAATGAACTGTCCAATGAAACAGTTATGAAATTAGCAAAATATTTACATATGATAATTTTTTCAGGTTTCAGAAAATAGTAACTAACAAAAATCTTTTAAGCATAAAGTTATTGGTGACCTTTTATGGCAGAAATGCTCATTAAGCAAACCTCTCCAACTTTGTTATAAATGATTAATCAACATACTGCATATTTTAATGTAGGCTGATAGCACTAGGTATTGTATTTAATCCTTCAACAAACAGCATTTTTCTTAATATAAATGTTCTTGGTTTAAAACAAAAAAATTGTAGGCCTGACTGGTGTGGCTCAGTGGGTTGGGCATCGTCCCACAAACTGAAACACGCTGGTGTTTCTCTTCCTCTCTTTCTCCCTTCCTTCCCCTTGCTCTGTAAATAAATAATCTTAAGAAACAAATAAATCATAAAGTTTATTAAATGTGACCTTTTCATTTCTTATTTAATTGCTCTACTTTCTTTTTCCTTCTTAGGACCACCTCAAAAAATAGTGTCACCAAAACAAGAGCATGAAGACAGGAAACATGACAAAGTCACAGATAAAGGAAGTGAAAGTGGGACTTCCTGTAATGAGCTCTCCACTTCCAGCTGTGACAGCCACTCAGAGGCAAGCACTCCCCAGGACAACCCACCCAATGCTCAGCAGACAACAGTTCACCAGCCTAACACCTTAACTTTGGATCGCCCTTCCAAAAAGGCACCCGTGCAATGGATGCCCCCACCAGACAAACGGAGAAACAGTGAACTCTTTCAGACACTCATCAGCAAGTCCCGGGAAACAAATCTTTCTAAAAAGAAAGTCTGTGAGAAGCTCAGTGTAGAAGAAGAAATGAAAAAATGTATTCAGGATTTTAAAAAAATCCACATTCCAGATTATTTTCCAGAGCGCAAACGCCAGTGGCAATCTGAACTGCTGCAGAAGTATGGGTTATAGTAATTATCACATTCCTGCAGTATTTCAATGACATTCAATGTTTACTACAGTGTCACTACCTGACTGTGTCTTAACAATGGTCAGTGTGATTCTTGCTGCTCTTCTGTTTTGTGAACAGTGGACGTAGGACAGTATATTCTTTCATCCCTTTGTTGTTGTTGTTTCTAGAAATACTTAAAAAAGACCAAAACAGAACCAATAAATATTGAATCAAAATGGTGTGTCTGAATCAAACCACTTTTCAAGAATGAAAGTATAATGTGCATGATCAAGAAGCTTAGAATCTTGATTTTTGAACTGTGGTCAATTGGATATGTTTGTCATTTTGTCGTTCACTAAAAAGAAATCATCATATCACTCCAAATAAAATGACAATGTGGATGAAGCAACATCAAATATTAGATGATGGTTTTGGGACCCAAATCCAAAACTACTTACATGTTAATGCAATAAAACAAGTATTATTTCTGCATGAACACAATGTTACAAATAAATCACATGACATAAGGAAGATCTGTTTGATGCTTGGGAAGAAAAAATATTACAAAAATGTAAAGGAGAAAACATGTTTCAGGTAAAGCCTGTAAATGTAAGCTGTCCAGGAGATTGAATTTTATTTGTTCTGGATCTGTGATTTTTTGTGTATGTGTATGGTGTTCTGTACGTTAAGATGATGTAAATACGCCTTATACTATTGTGTTACTGCACTGACACTCATCTGTTGACGCGAGCCATGGTTATTTCTGTGAAATGAGTGCTTACATCAGGCTGTGAAAATTGGTATAATGATGTTCTGAAAGATCCTACTATCATGTTAATCGAAATAATTGAGGGAAATGGTAAAGAGCTTTATGTATTTATTAAAAAGGGAAAATACATTAGAATTCCTTGATTTCTACTGACTCTTCTTTAAAAATTTTCAATTTTTCAATTGTCTTCATTTTTTCTTTAGAATGCCAAGCTGGAGAATGATATATTCAAACTTACTGTTGACAAATTAGAGTTTTAGTATAATTCAAAATGGAGGTGAAGTCAGGTCCAGATAGCTTCGTTATTGATTCATAAATCCTTAGACACTTCACCTCAGAATGCACTAAAATTTTATTTTAGCTGACAAACAGATTTAAAGCCTCTCCAAAAACAATTGGGAAGTTACTTCTCACATACTGAGACAAAATTGTCTATTGCAAGCTAAAAGTTCAACCTGAATGATAAAATATTTCTTCCTGGTTGCATATGTGGAAACAAGTTTTTTTTTCCTTTTTTTAAATCATAAGCCACACAATTTTTGCCTTACCATTCTTATAAAAAGAAATGCAAAATACCATGAAATTTTATTAAAAATAGGCTTTGAGAGGATAAAAAATATCTTCAAGAATTATAGAGTTCAATCTCCTGTGTGGTAAGTTGGAATAGAAGTTGAACAGCACTTGTGGGTAATAGAGGCAGATAAGCATTATTAACTCAAATTTTTAAAATCTACATTTATTTTTGGATATATTTTTAGATTTCTTACTGTACTAGTATATAAAATACCATCAACAATGGACTACTTAAGGCAAGAAAGATATATGACTTACCTTGAATTACCAATCAGGATTAAAGGAAAGAGCTACTCAAAACCTGCATTTCATTTTGGAAGGTTGGCAGTCCCATCAAGGCTTCATATAGCTGCAAAGTACTGGTTAAATGGATAGAGCTGAGTGGTTAGGTTGCCACAGTTCAAGCATCACCTTTACCACTTACCACCTGTGTGATCTTAGCAATATCGGGATAATAATAATATCATAGTGAAGATTTAAATGAGGTAATTAAAATATCATCACCACTCCTGGAAATGCAGGGGAAAATGGTGGTGGGGGTCTCACCAGAACCCAAGAACCAGGACTATCAGGTGGGGAATTTGGAATAGAAAGGAATAACCTTTCCAAGAAGAACTAGAGCCACTAAAGAGTCACAGTCACTCTCAAAGTTGCCTCCCAAAGCACAGGGGGCGTGATCCTAGTTCCCCATGTTCCAATTTCCCACCAGTGCTTTCCATTGCCCCAATATCAGTGGAAGCCTGTTGACAAGCAACCTAGGAAATGTAATTTGTAGAGGTGATCCCCTTGTGATACAAAGCCCAGGTAATGATAATATCTGAAAAATTGCTCACACCCTGCTCTGCTTTTTCCCAAAACAAATTTCAAATAGAGTCACAATGGCGTAAGAAAAGTGATGCTAGTAAGAATGTTTATCCTTAGGGTCCTTAGCAAACTGGAATTCATTTCAATAATAATCTGTTGAGCACTTACCATAAACCTAGCATTTGGCTCAAAGATTAGCAACATGAATAATAGTCAAGGGTATGGGGGAATAAATACTGATGGAAGGAGACTTGACTTGAAGTGCTGAACACACACTGCAGTGTACAGAGGACTGTGGAATTGTGCGCCTGAAACCTGTATAATTCTGTTAACCAGTGTACCCCAATAAATTAAAATATAAATAAATAAATAATAAAAATTTTAAAGAATCACCAACTATTTCTGTTAGGAAGAAGCTCATGTGGTCTGATTTTCTCAAACAGTTGTTGTTTCACCAAATGCTAGAAGCTGGGTGACCCCAAATGGAGTTACAAGAAGATAAAAGAAGGCATCTAGAATGGGGGGAAAAGAGACTTCAACATTTAAGGATGAGTGGGCAGGATCTAGTTTATAAAACTTTTTCCACAGGATGAGGAGGTAAAATACGGAGAGTCACCAAAAGTCAAAAGAGCTGGAAGCAGGCAATGAAGATAAGTATATATGAGAAATAAATATATTTTGGAGAAGACATGGTATAACTTTTGAGTATTTATGGAGTTCACATGGTATGCTTTTTGTCTGATATGCAGTTGACACTCAAGCTATAATCTATATATTATTTGTGTTAAAGTGGAAATATATTGAGTAGTAACTAAAATGGGAAAAGAAAATAAATGTTAATTGTTAAAATTTTAATTTTAGGAAAATGGAGTAGTCAAGCTTATCCTTATTCCTCCCACTAAGTATAAGTAAAAACCTTAGGCATTATATACACACACACACACACACACACGCACGCGCGCGCGCGCATTTAACAGGCCCTGAAAGTCTGGGAAAAGGAAGGCTGGGTGTAGAAATTGAGACCTAAAGTCCTACATGGTAATGGGTTTCGGGGATTTCTTTTTACCTCATCTATTCTAGTCTTGGAGCTGAAGAAACTGGTTACCCATAAACACGAACAGGTGCACACAAAACAACCACCGGCAAAATCCTGCTCTCTCTAGCCAAAGACCAGCAAAGGCCAGCCAAGCAACCTAGAAAGGCAGAAGACATTGAGGTAATAACTGCTCCGCTGTGTCAGCTTACAGGAAGGTGTAGCGCATAATTACTTTCAGGCTCCTCATTTCTTAACAGGATTTTTTAAAAGAGAAGACTGATCTTTGTACCTTCTCCACAGTTGCCTTTTCCAGAATGTTATATAGTCAGAATCATATAGTACATAGTCTTTTTAAATTGTATTTTTTCACTTAGTTTTATGTGTTTAAGTTTCCTCCAGGTCTTGCCATGGCTGAATAAGTCGTTTGTTTTTAGTGTTGAATATTATTTCATAATCTGCAAAGAGAATCATTCATTCATTCATCTTCTGAAGGACAACTTGGGTTCTTCCAGGTTATGGCAACTATGAATATAACTGCTACACACATTCATGTAAAGGTTTTTGTGTGGACATAAGTATTCATCTCCATTGGGTAAATACCAAGGTATAATTGCTGAATCATATGGTAAGACTATGTTTACTTCGTCAAGGAACTCCCAGACTGTCTTCCAAAGTGGCTGTATTTTTGCATTCCCACCAGCAATAAATGAGAGCTTCTGTTTTTTCAGACACTCACCAGCGTTTGGTGTTATCTATGTTCCAGATCTGGGCCATTATAATAGTTTAGCAGTACCATCTCATTATTGTTTTAATTTGCATTTCCCTGATGACATATAATATAAAGTATTACTTTATATATGCTTTTTTGCCAATTGTATGTCTTCTTTAGTGAGATGTCTATTAAGATCTGTGATCCATTTTTTAGTCATATTGTTTGTTTTCTTATTGAATTTTCAAAGACTTTTTGTATATTTTAGATAAGAGTCTTTTGTTTTTTTACATATTTTATTGCTTATGCTATTACAGTTGTCCCATTTTACCCCCTTTGCCCCCCTCCATCCAGCCCGTCCCCCACTTCATAGTCAATCTCCACACCATTGTCCATGTGCATGGGTCCTTCATACATGTTCGTTGACTAATCCCTCCACCTTCTTTCAGACAACCCCTGCTTCCCTCATCCCTTCTTACAGCTGTCAGTCTGTTCCATGAATCTATGCCTCTGGTTCTATTTTGCTCACTAGTTTATTTTTGTTCATTAGATTCCTCTTATAAGTGAGATCATATGGTATTTGTCTTTCACCAACTGGCTTATTTCACTTAGCATAATAAATAGTCTCCAGTTTCAACACTGCAGTTGCAAAAGTTAGGGTGTTCTTCCGTCTTTCTTCTGCATAGTATTCCACTGGGGAGATGTACCATAGTTATTTTATCCACTCATCTGCTGATGGGCACTTAGGCTGTTTCCAAATTTTGGCTATTGAAAATAGTGCTGCTATGAACACGAGGGTGCTTAAATACTTTGAGTAGTCATTTCAGAAATTTTTGGTATATTCCTAGCAGTGGAATCACTGGGTAAGAAGGCAGTTCATTTTTAGTTTTTTTGAGGAAATTCCATACTGTTTTTCACAATGGCTGCACCATCTGCATTCCCACCAGTAGTGCACTGTGGTTCCCTTTTCTCCACATCCTCGTCAGCATTTATGTATTGATTTATTGCTGATACCTAGAGAACAGTTCTTTATGATATATTCTTTTGCAAATATTTTCTCCCAGACTGTGGCTTGTTTTCTCGTTCTCTTGACAGTGTTTTCACAAAGTAGAAGTTTTTCATTTTCATCAAGTTCAGCTTATCAATTATTTCTTTCATCGATCATGTTTTGGTGTAATATCTAAAATGTCATTGTCATTCTTGAGGTCATCAGGCTGTCTTCTATGCTATCTTCTAGGAGATTTATAGTTTTGAATTCTACATGTAAGTCTGCAATACATTTTGAGTTAATTTTTGAGAAGGGTATAAGGTCTTTTTCTTGGTTTATTTTTTACATGTGGATGTCCTGTTGTTTCAGAAACATTTGCTCCATTGTATTGCTTTTGCTCCTTTGTCAAAGATCAATTAACTTCATTTATGTGGGTCTATCTGGGGGAATCTCTATTTTGTTTTGTAGGTCTATTTGTCTATTTTTTTCACAAATATTACACTGGCTTAATAACTGTAGGCCCATAGTAAGTTTTGAAGTTGGATAACATCAGTCCCTTGATGTTTTTCTTCTCCTTCAATTTCAAGTTGGCTATTCTGAGTCCTTTACCTCCCCATATAAATTTTTAAAACTTTGTTCATATCTACAAAGAAATTTTCTGGGATTTTTATTGAAATTGACTAAATCAACAGATCAAGTTGGGAAGAACTGACATCTGGACAATATTGAGCCTTCCTATTCATGAGCATGGTCTATCTCTCCATTTATTTCATCCTTATTTGATTTATTCATCAGTTTTATGGTTTTCCTTTTATAAATCTACATATTTTGTGATATTTATAGCTAT